GGTGGCGGCGCGTGGCTCCAGTGTTGGCCATGGTGGCGGTGGCGGGGATGGCTGCGCTTCCGCGTCAGCCTAGAGCGTAGGGTGTCTAAGGCCAAGAAGCTGGTGCGATCGCGGGCGCCGAGACTTCAGAGTCTGAGGCTCAGCGGTGGTGACGGCGGCAGCGGCGGACCTGGTCACAGATGCGCGGCCTGAGGGAGCAGAGCGCGGGCAAAGCGCGGCGGCGGTGGCGGTGGCAGTGCAGACCTAGGCGAGAGCGGGAAGAGTGGCTGTCTGGCTGGCTGCGAGAGCGAAGTCAGTGTGGGGGAAGACTACGCAGGGGCCCTAGTGTGAAGGGCGGAGGCAGTGGGAGGAGCTGCTGGGCGGGCGTGGGGTGCCTGTCGGGTAGCGGAGGCCGCGCGGGGTGGAGGCTGGAAGGGGGCGGAGAGGAGAAGCGGGTAGCAGAGCTACAGGGACAGAGTTGCGGAAGGCCTGTACACCAGGACCTCCAGTATCAGACACGTGGCGTTTTGATACCCTCAGGACTACAGCTAACTACCCTTCTTAAAATCCCTACTTCCATAAAATCTGAAACCTAAGATATAGTCAAGCACGGGGCTAGAATAAGGCCAAGCCACGATCTGTCTGGAGAAACTAGTGTGCGCTTGCAGTAATCTTGGGATAGCCTTCTCTTATACTAGACATTGAATTTGGCAGTGGATGGGGGGTTCAGCAGTGGCACGGAGACCTTGATCCCTATGTCAGACCTGCGGCTTCTCCAGTTTCAGCTCCTAGGTTGATGTCTTAAACAGCTTCAACCAACTATGTTTTCTTCCCCCTTGTTTTCCCCCCTTTCTCAAACTGAAGACTTTGAGCACGGAATCTCTGAGGGATGCGTTCCAAATGCAGTTCCCAAGGCCCTGCTTTCCACCCAGATGTAATCAGGAGCCCTTTGGTGAGAAAGCAGCCTCAGGAGCATCGAGGGCTGCAGTGATGATGGGGGTGGAGACACGGGGGTGAGGGGTGAAGAGAAGAGTTTTCCTCTAAGGCACTGAGTTCTTTCAAACTTAGCCCAGGGCAGGTTGAGTGAACGTGAACAGGTCCAGGAGTGGGGTACCTCCCTCTCTCTCCTGGGAGGGGAAGGTCAGCCCAAACTTGCAGTTGTACAAATCTTGGCAGAGTCCTGTTTTGGTGTGGGGGCTCCCTTGGACATTGGTACAGTACTCAGAGGAATGCACAGGATTTCCACAAGCACATATGATAAAGAACTTTCCAAACTGACTAAATGGCAAAATGGTGAGAGCGTGAATGTTCAAAGCATGAGTTTGGCATTCTGCAGAGTCACATGATCCATATGTGCACTGAAGCTTTAGGGCAGTCAATCCTAAAGCAAGCCCCCAATTCCACAATAATACATTGTACTGAAATGCTGGTGGCTGATACCAAGTCTGCACAGGTCCCAGTCCTCCTCCACACACACACACACGCGCGCACACATACACACACACACACAGTGTTTGTTAAGAGGATGTGCAGAGGTCACGTGGTGACTTTACTTTCCTTGAACAGAGATCATGAAAACTACTTTGTTGCTGTTTTTCCCCATTCTCCTTGCTCTTTACAACCTTATCTCAAGCCCAGAAACTCCAAGTACACCATTGGTCCTTCACATTTCTCCAGTTCAGCTGTTGCAACCTAGTGCCCATCCTCCCCTTCTCTACCTCAATAATCCTACCCTTGTTTAGTGCTGTATCAAGAGGAGGGTGTCGGTGACGGATTGTGAGTAACCTGAAAACGAAAAAAATGCTCATGATTTCATAACTGGAAGTGACATTACAAGAGAATAACTGATCACCAACTTCTTTAACCTAACCAATCTTAAGGCTTTCTTCTTTTCTAAAACAAAAATCCTATCTTAGAAAACTTGATATTATATAAGACTTCATGGTATATTTTTTACTGTTGTGGTAAATAAAATACCCTAAAAATCTTAGGCTATATCAGACTAGTTGTTCATATATAACATATGTATAATAAATTGACTGAAATGTGTATGTGTGTGTGTGTATATATATATATATATATATATGGTTTATATATTATATATATATATGTATGCATATATCCACATAAACATTTTGTTAATTTGTACAAACATGTGGAGTACATTAGGAATTTTGTTGTATGTATATATGCCTAGTGATCAGGTCAGAGGATTTAGGGCATCCACCACCAGAGTACAATACATTTCTGTTAAGTATAGTCAAGCTATCTTGCTATCCAACATTGAATTTATTCCTTCAGGCTTATTGTATGCCTGTACTCTTTAACCCTTTCTCTTCATCCTCTCCTCTCGCCACTCCCATTCCCAGTTTCTGTTACCTATCTTTCCACTCTCTATCTGCATATGATCACATTTTTGTAGCTCCCATATATAAGTGAAAACACGGAATATTGGTCTTTTTGTTCCTAGCTTATTTCATGTAAGATAATGATCTACAGTTTCATCCATGTTGCTGCAAATGATATGATTGCATTATTTTATGGCCATTACATAGCACATGTATAGCATGTTTGTTAAAGTAAATAATGCTTATAACAGCTACTATTTATTGAAAACCTATTCATGTTCTGGGCTGAAAGGATGTGCTAAATGCTTCAAATGCTAAATGCTTTATGTACATTTAGCCTCACAATAACTCTATAACGTAGGTTCTATTTTTATTGCCATGTTTTGAAATGAGGGAAATTGAGGCTCAGAAAAGATAGTGACTCCCTAGTTGTCACACAGCTAGTAAGCGATAAAGTCAAGATGTAAATCCCTCTGTGACTCTAATGCTTTCGTGACTTAAGACTACTCTATTCAACAAACGGTTTTTTTTTTGTTTGTTTCCTTCTCTTAAAAATAATGTAAACTACCCCTATTGTTGAAATTTTACATGCTTTGTGTCTTCTGCTCTTCTTAAAGGTAACCGGAATTCATAAATAAATACTGAATGCAAATTATGCACAACACTGTCCATATAATATTTAAAGGCAAATATATCATCTCTGGGACATAGTTTTTACACATTTCTTTTAATCAATACTTATGAGATGCAGTAATATGTATTCACAAGCTTTTATAATTTTGGTAGAAATAACATCCACATAAATTTCCACTTTTTGTTAATATAAATACGTAATATTTAAATATATTAATATGTCTGTAGGGGGTGGTCAGATTACTATCATGTATTAAGAAATAAATTAGGTTAACTTCATCTAGAATATTATACCCGAAACACATTTCTTTTCTGCTAGGCTTTCAAATTTCTCTAAGCTCTTTACTTAAAGATGTACAAACAACTTCCAGTCCAAAGGCAAGATATGTTGACAGATGTACAGTTTTATATACGAACTTGCCATTTTGAAACTTCCTTGGCATCTGGTTTCTTCCAGGTATAGGAAAATACAATGTCTGCTAATATATAACTTCATGAATAGTGCGTTTATTGTTGAAAGTGTAGCTTCAATGGTATGTGATAAAAATGTCAGATGTCTGTATAGTTTTTTCAGTGCTGGGATCTCAATTAGGTACTTCTATTACCTCTGAGGGCCACTGTGTATGTGAGTGTGAACATCTTGTCAGTCCTTACTGAGATATTACTATGTTTGTTACTGGTTTTTGCTTTGTATTGGACTAGCCTGTCTCCCTACAATAGATTCCCCTGCATTGGATGGGGTCTTATATGAATGGCTTCAGGGCATTGTCTCATGCTGTTCTCTAATTACTTAATGTATTTAAGTTTTGTTTTCCCAATCAGATTGTAAACTCCTCAAAAGTTTACATGTTTTCTATTTATTTGGCACTATCCACTATTAAAACTTGGGATTGACTTGTTGATAAGTAAAAAGAACTAAAAAAAAAAAAAAGAAAAGAAATTGAAATATCCAACAAGTAGAATGTATTTCGTAATAAAATTACTAGAAGTGGAGAAAGTGAGGGATTTCAATTGAAGTGTAATAATGCCACATAACTTGTTTGAATTGATATAGATATCTATGCTGACCTATTTTGACCTATATATCTACATATACATAATTTCATCAAGTTGTGTTATTTTATTATCTATATCTATCTCTCTTTTTATACCTATATGTATATATGTTTCCTTGAACCACTGGATGATTTCATCAATTGTGTCTGTCCACTTTTCTCATCTATGAATGAAAAAACGAGATGTCTAGCCAATATAGATTACCAATTAAAAATTAAGGCAGAATATTTATTTCCGTGTGGTATCATGAATATAAACTTGTTTCTAAATGTGATTTAAATCATTTTAAAAGTGTTAGATTTTATGTCCAAAACTAAAATAGTCTCAGGAAAAAGACACTGAAAAGTTGAGAAAACGGTGGGACAATAATAAGACGGGTGGACCAGTAACAAGTCTGTTTGAATAAATTCTAAAAGCGCTTTTATATAAACTACAGAGAAATAGATGTTACAAATAAGGCCATACAAATTGGCGTATATTTTCAGATATAGAGGCATTTGCATTCAGAAATGTGATCATATAGTCATTTCCAATATGTTGTATATAGATATGAAACAAAGATGCCCTTAAAAGTATTTTGTGACATCTTGTTTACATTTGTATGCATAGCCTTTGGGTTATCTTTATGAGCAAGCATAAATATAAGACACTAAAAAAAGAAACATAGTTAATTAAGCTTGTTTTAAAATAACATGCGATAATGATATGGTTACTTACACCAGACACAAGACAAACTATTATTGAATTAATAAATTGAATAAATCTTCTCTTAATCTCTAATGATAACACAGTCGTAACATTTTCAAGCTGTGACCTTGTCAAG